AGATTATTTAGGGTACTATTTAAGCTGTTGAGTCATTCAACAATGCACTCTGCGCCATGCAGAGTTTATATAAGTAAGGTTAAATGACACTTGACCTTTCATGTTGCATGACACATTCTCTTCTTTTGGAACCAGGAGCTGAACTGAAGATGACTGTCTTCTGGGTTGTTGCGCCGTGTAGTCTGGTAGAAGTTTACCGACGTTTTAGACGTCCATTAGCAGGGCGATGACTCTGAAACGTTGGTGGACATCTACCAGACTACACGGCGCAACAACCCAGAAGACAGAAATCTTCAGACTCACCGCCGTGAAAATCTTAAATCCTACAGGAGCTGAACTATTTCATTTGACTTCTTCCTACACCGAGGAATCACTTCATCCGATTTTCCTTATGCATCGCAACGTCCGTATATGTTGGATGTCTGTCTCTCCGTCTCCCAAATAACCTTTGAATGAACCACTTACCATGGGAAAAATTCTAGTTCGTACCGTTAAATTTATGGACCTAAAATTCTGTATTATTACAGATATTTTATAATAAAAATTAGCGTTAATTAACGTTGATTTTATGTTTACGGAACGTAAAAACAGAGCGACCAGGCGAAAGTTGTGTTTATTTACGACCTAACGACCATATGACATTTGGTTGAACTGGCCTGTTTTAGTTTTTCACGCTAAAAGAAACTGGCGTGGAGTTTGGTCATACGCGTATATAAAAATAACGCTTTAAAAAAAATTGTGTACTGAAAATCACAAACTTATCGGCTGCGATAAGCCTTAAGTTACGTTTTAAGAATGCTCATATACAGAAGATTTCGTCGGAAACCCGGAAAGGAAAAGTCCACGTGGTAGACCTTTACGTACAAATGGAGGATCGCATACGTAGAGAGCCGAATTGTGCTGGAATTTCGAATGATGAATTGGAAAGAATGCGTAAGAAAACTGTAATTGTCCGTTTTATAGTTATCATTTACCTGGTAGGATGCGGAAATCCAGGAAAATCCTAATATCATGATTTCGGGTAGGAATTAGAACCTGGATTCTCCTGAGAGCGAAGTAGGATTGCTGTTCACTCAATTATGACATTCGATTCACTCGAAACACACGACAAGACGTGTTCAATCAAAATATTTTCCGTTATCAGTATTCTTTAAGCAGTCACAAATTCCAGTTCTCATGAGAACTCTTAATGACATGACTTATTTAACCCAGTAAGTTGATTATTTGGGCCCTGTGATTCGAATTCAGAAGTTTATGAAAGGGATGAATAGGATATACACGTGGTGTAATGACTGAATATTAAAACAATATCATATACGCAGTCAGCAAATTAAGGGATAATTTGCATGTGACTAGTAGAAAATACTTGTAAATAACAATTTAACGGATACATGTGGAAAGAATTACGAAAACCTCAAGGAAAGAGAAAAGTTAGAAGACCTGAAAATTACGGTCCGATCAGGTTTTACCCTCGAAACAGGCGCCGGGGTTTTGACCCAATGGGCGCTACCGCTGTTGTTTTCGAGAGGGGGGACAGATAAAGGCCTTTGTTTTAAGGGTAGGAGAATAAAAACTAATTTTAGGTAAACATTTGTTGTGTTTCCTGTTTTCATTATTTTAAATTTTTCAACAAAAATCTAGGGTGTGAGGCCGGGTTTATGCCTCACCCTTGATTGTTAAAACGGAGAATAATGCCGTAAAGTTTCAGAAAGAACAATTATAAATGGCATAAATCAGGGTGGTCCAACTTTTTTCCTCGCTTGGGCCAGAATAATTTTCCTATTGGACCCAAGGGCCAAGAAACTCCTACTGCCACTATTTTTGCGTTTTCATTATCTTTAATAATACCTATTCAGAAATGACAAATTACAATCGCATGTGCTGAAATGACGTTTCGGAGATGGGATAGAGCTAATCCCTATCCGGAGATAGGGATTAGCTCTATCTAGTGGGCCCAACTGTGTAGGAACCTGAAGACGGAGATAGAGTCCCATCTCCGAAACGTCGTTTTTTACGTTTTATATTTACTAGACGATGGATAATATCCAAGAAATTTTTTATTCTACTATAGAATTGTATATTATTTTAAATTTGCTCCTGCAATAGCTTGTATCTGATACAATAACAATTTGTACCAGAAGAACGTACATCTTATGTTTTTAAAGTGAATATCAGCTTCAATTTTTGTTGTTGCTAAACGAAGGGTTGATCGTAACATATCCATAGATAACGCGTACCGAAATGTGGCATTTGTACGTAAAGCAACAGATGAGATGAGAATCATAATTATTTTTTTTAAAATCCTCAAGAGTAAAGAAAATAAATGGGTTTGTACTAATTATAACAAATTAACAAATACTTTTGCGGGCGGCCAGTTGGACCACGCTGACATAAATAAACAAAACTAAACTGACTTAAAACTTGTGCGCTCTGAAGTGTCAATGGAATCAATGCTGTTCATTAAAATGAATAATCATGACTATGATGAATTCTTTACTTTCCCTATAATAAACGAACATTAAATTCACATTTAAGTATTCGTTGTTGGTACGTATTGAAATTGGCGAAGAAGGCAAAACTGTACGACAACCGATAAGAAGGGCTTCGCTGTTTTCACTTCCTAAAATAAAATTAAATGTATGTAACTTTTTTGGTAAATGCTTCAAAGTTGTGTTGTATTAGAGCAATGGATTATCAGAATACAACTAATCTTATTTCAGTGTATTCGGTACTCGACCATTGAGGTCTTCTGTTGAAACAAAATATTTGTTTTCGTCTAGAATGATCTGCCGTCGTTAAGATTACATCGAGACAATATTATGCTTTTATGTAAAGTGTTCGATAAAATTGTTCTACGTAAATGAAAACTGAAATGGCTGGACAATTGTTCAATAACAAAATTTAATAAAAAAAATCGGTTAATCTTAGGACAATTGTTCAATAACAAAATTTAATTTAAAAAAAAAATCGGTTAATCTTTTCCCGAGCTGTTTCATGTGTATGGACAAGCGGAGGTGTTTTAACTAATCTAATTTCCTGGTTTAAATGAATACACGCGGTTTTCTTTATATCTAATTAATTTGATATAAACTGTTTTTAACTATATAAATATAATGCGGGTAATAAGCTTACAACTGGCAAATACGCTACTGACATAGTTCATGTTTCAGAATACTAAATATATTTTAAACAATTTAATTCATGTCGAAAGACCTCCTACATTAAACCAGCATTACCTTTAAGTATTGTTTCCAATGTTTGATATGGAGAAAATGTAATTATAAGGCTATTTTCTGTTTGTTTTATTTGTGTCGTAATTGTATATTGTATATTTGTATAATCTCTAAATCTATTAATGATCAGAACATGAACATTCACGTGTTCAACGTGAATGTGTGTAAGAGGTCCTTATATTTAATCCGAAGTCCAGAATTTACATATTATCGTTTACAGACTTCTATTTGACTTGGCTTCCAATAAAAAAAACACTAAGAGTCGCTTGTTCTCACCTGTATCTGCGGTTTTGTGTACGTCTTAGAGAATGTCGGTCAGTGGGTACAACGGACCATCCTTCCACCAGCGGTCAGGTCGCAGCATCCATCCTGCGTTCATCACAACATGACAAGGGTAAGAAGTCGACTGCTGTAGCTCGGTTTGGCGCGGGGAAGGGGTGGGGACACCGCTCCGTATCGATCAGCCCAGACGATGGGTGAAGGACGAGTCCAGTGCGGTGACGCAATAATTACAGATGAAAGCAGTTACCGTCTGCTTCAGAGCTAAACCCTTCCCCTGTAACTAGTAAACACGCTGTGAAGCGTTCTTAAATAAAAACGGTGTTTGGAGGTGGACTGGATTCGACCGGTGTCGGGCTTTTGTGAATAATTAACTTTCGGGGGGGTTTTTTACAAGGCAGAAACATTTTTGACTAGCAATAAGAAATACTCTTGATAATACCTCTCCTTCCTTTTGTTATAAAGATCACAACAATGAAGTTTTAGTTAATCTTGTTCAAATATAAAGCACTAACATTTTTGACACAAAATTTCACAATTTCCACATAGCCATAAACTATATTTACATATAAATCCTTGCCCTTTGAATATGCAAACATATGAAAAGATAGCATCAATAACCTGTCCTCAAGATCTTACATCATAATTAACCCGTGTAACTCCACCACTGCAGCAGCACAAAAAGAATCCAGCTCAAACCTTGCCATCCTTAAAAATTTGATTACCCTCATCTATTTTAGTATTTCCATACCTTCTTCTTCTTTATTAGGCCGTCTCCTTTACAGGAGGTTGGTGACATATTATGAACAGGATCCTTCCATCCTTTTCTCGGACTGGGACCTGTTCATATACGTTCTTGGCAGATGATCCAGAAGTGGTTTGCCATTGCCTTCTTCTGTGTGTGAATGGAGTAATTGTTGGGATGCCACGGAGGAAAACTCCGTGTGCCTAGACCACGGCCTTGCCCAAACAGAAGTTATAAATTCGGGCACGCTGGGAATCGAACACGAGACCCCAGGATTACAAGGCCAGCGTTCTAACCGCTAGATCACCGCGGCTAAAGCTACCAATAGGGGAAATAGAAGTTCTAGGGATGTTAAAATCATTTAACGCCGCTGTTGAGTGGTCAGCACAAAGGATTCGTGTTCTAGAGGTCCCTGGCTCAATTTTCAGAACGGAGGGTGGCTGTCGTACTGATCTTTTAATTGTAGCCCGCAGTCCTGCTAGACAAATACTGGGATAGTAAATTTCTTTTTACAGATCACGATCTGTGGCCACTTCTGAAGTATCTTTTCCTATTTACCCTATAATGCCATCTTCCCACTCGGAGCTGCATATTTGTCATTGAGAAATTACATGAGGTCTCTGACCGGTTGTGGCCCAAGGTTTTACCGCACTGTTATAGAACGAAATGCAAGCACGTTCTACTAACTTGGCTGTTGAGCTTAATTAGCTGCACTCGTTGTAATTTTGATGATGGCGAATTGCTGGAGTAGAATCTAGAAAAGCGATATTATGACGAACAAACTGGTAACGGGTGTTCGATAACTTTATCTCCTATGCAAAACATTGTCTTCTTGTTATGGATTCTGAAGATAAATCAACGTCATCGCAAAACCCCCGCCATTGACTCTGTCAAGAATTAGTTTAATCCAGCTTACTCCGTCAAAACATCAAAGTATTATTAATACACATGATACTATTTTATTTAAAAATATATCGAGTTAATAAATCCTTGTAGATATAGTCGGATATTGGTGATGGTGGCCGATTACTCGTTTCGTCCACCTCGCGACTTTGATGCCTTCGTGTGAATTTGTTAGAAGTGTTGTGACACGAAAGAGTATGAATTTTTATTACTTACCCGTGGCACGACGTCCATACAAAATTTCAGCAATTTCCGACCAACCATGTTCAATTTAGAAAATTAGTGCGCAGGTCGCCGTGTTCAGCTGACGCAGAATACCCCTGTTGGTTTGCCTCTGGTTAGTTAGGTTAGGTTAAGATAGCATCTGCGCAGAAGGTGATGCGCAGTGACGTGATGCAATTTGTCTATGTTAAGGCATCGTATGAGTTCTATTTTCGATTGCGGGATATTGAACAATCAAATATTTCAATGTTCTGAAATTATAGAACAATCTTGTGTTTGAGTCACTACCATAGCTTTACACTTCAAAGATTTTACATTGGTTACCTACCTGTGGACCTCGCAACACAATAGGCCCACGTCACTTATCCATGTTTTTTTCCGTAATTGTGGTTTTTGAATTAAATTTGTGGTCTTCTTACGCTTAAGAATTATTAATACACATGTTAAAATTTTATTTTAAAATATGTCGAGTGCATAACTCCTTACTTTGTAATGTTATATTCCTGTCCCGGTCTTAGTTTCCCGTGAGATCAAGGAAAAAGAGAGGTTATTCCTGCGCTTAATTAAACATCACGCCATGAAGACGTATGGAGGAGTGGATGCAGAGTTCCATGCATTTTTAACCTCGGCACTGGATGAAACTTTTTCCCGTTTTTGCCGTATGTCCGCGAGATTTCAACCTTGAAATTTTTGTTAAATCATTCCAACATTATGACGCGGTTTGTTACGAAATTTTTATCCATTCCCTTTATTCACCCGTTCAGTGTCAGACGTCCTCAATTTATGTTATTTCTCCCGAATACTAGCAAGTTTCCCGTGAAAAATAAAGGAGAGAGGAAGCAGCAGTGAGCTTAGTGCTTAGTTAGCGTTTCATAGTTTGTTTGTTTACTCTTAACCACACATAAAGAGTGGTAAGATCAAGGACTCTGAGACTAACTGGGTCCTGCAGATCGCATGGTAGTGTTTCACGCCATTTGCAGATGGCACTACTGGCTATACTTCCCGATTTGACGGCAGGGGCGTTGTATACTGCTCTTGATGTGATGGGATATGTTGGTATTGTCTGAGATTGTTTATATTTTGGAGTTGCGTCTGTGAATTTGTACTCAAGAAACGTAATTAGAATTCGTCCGAAAACACAGCAGAATGACCTGGGGTTTTGTAACTTGTGGTCCTAATGAAGCATTGGTGGTTTCAGGTATTTTGTGGCGTATATGAAGTATTCTGTTTGAAATAATCATAGATGTATGGACGACAAATTGTTATTTTGGTCGTGCCTTAAGCAACAAGTTTATACAAATACTTATTGGAAATATAGAAGAGGACAGTGTATCCCTTAGAGGTTTCATTGTTTTCCTTGCCATCGTAAATAACTCCATTGGTTTGCGGCTACTGGGTTACAGCATCAAGTGTGGAATACTTCCATGAAAGAAGGTGGTACTACTACAAAATCCGAAAGGAAAATGTTTGACGTCGAATAGATAATATTATTAAACCGAACAGTTGAGGTTTATGATCCCAGCATGAAAATGGGCAGAAATTAACATTACAGTGGTTGATGGAAATAAAGAGTTTTGATTAATTTGTAGCAAATGAGATGCCATTTTTTTGTGTTTGTATCTGATAATCCTAAAGAAGTAGTGTATTTATTTAGATAACCCATGAATATATTTATTGTAAAATGTCCAGCATTTTTTTTCGTCTTTGTATGCTAAATTAAACACTTGAGACCATTTTACACTACCTTAACACAAAGATGTCCAAATAAAATCAGAAAACTTACCACATTTTGTAACACAGTTTTGCCCTGTTCAGATTTTCTAAACTCCAGAACTGAGTGAATGAAAAAATATGTGAGATGAAAATGTTTTCAGAAGTAAAAGAGTGGAAGAGAGTTATTAAGAATAGAAAAGTTTAAGATCTGTAACACAAAATTGTCTGGACTGTCACTTTGATTTTATCTAGAGGAAAAACTGAAATGGGGTTCATATCTTAAGGGATGAATAATAGATTAGGTAAGAGCAGAAGATGATGATGGTGATGAGAGAAGGTGGAGCTGGTTATTTTTTCTTTATTTAGCAGACATATCAAGGTTTGAAAACACAACTTGCTTCAATTTAAAGACGTCCCTTCTTTTCATTTCAAATAATGTTATATATTAGTTATGAAGGAGTTATGGCAGTTATCATTTTGAAGTGATAAGCATTATTTTGTTTTTCATGTAATTTTACAGTATTTGTGACACTATTTCATACACTTCATACAGCTATATTCATGGTGCTTGGCTATGACTGTTGAACCCTCTAATGATACAATGATGAACATAACTTCTGCATATGAATTACTCAAACATAAAATAGAGGTCATATTGTTCCATTGGTGGCTTGATCTATCTCATAATATTTAATAATGTTCACTACGGAGTGCCCTGTTACTTGTTTCAGGGTGCTGTTACAACAAGCCCCTACTTGTGCCTGGGGGAAGAGCATTTGTATGGCCCACAATTCAGTGTGTGCAGAGGTAATGTATATGACTGTGAAATGACCATAACTGTATAAACCAGATTGATTTCAGCTTTGAGCAAAGTAGTTGCTTGCACTTATGTATTAGAGTATGAATTTGTAGCTTTGACTTAAAACAGGAGCTGTGTAAATCACTGTATGACTGATGTTTTTTTTTTCTCTCTCTCTCTCTCTCTGTAGGATTTCCTTGAACACAATGACCCTTCAGGTAGAGAGCCCGACAGTCTACACCAGCCAGGGGGTTCCAATATCAGTGACTGGGATTGCACAAGTAAGAGGTTACTGGATTCCATTTAGGAAAGTCTCAAACAGACTTTTAATGTTTTTTCAACAGATTTCAAAATTTATTAAATGTAAGAATACGTGCAGTATTTCTGAAACTGGTTCCTATTAGAGCAACATTGTTTGTTTACTACTTTCAGAACTGTGGAATCTAAGCCATATGAGGAAATACTCATTCTGGAATATTGTTTAAGAAGCAATACAGTTTTGATGCATTCATTACTGCATTGAGTGAACTTATATGTCTCTTCATTTGTTTGTTTTATTTTTCAAACTACTTGACATATTTTCATTAGATTTATATTGGAGTTGCACTAAATGATCTAGAGGGAAAGTGTACATTTCACATATTGTATTAAAATGTTTCAAGATGAGGCATTAGAGGTAATGATTTCTTTTAGTTGAAAGTTGCTAGTTATTAATGAGGTAGCTTATAAGAGAATGACAAACAGTACTAATTCTTTAGAGTTAATGAATAGAGAATATTTCTATTAAGCTAGATGTAAATGAGAGCATTAAATTGTTGAGGTATAGGTGGAAATGGGGAAGGGTAGGGTAGATTTCTGGTAAAAAGAATAAAATTGTGTAGCAGGAGAATAGCATCAGTAGAGATAGTTATGTTAGGCTATTTGCAAACCCTGATGTTAAATGGACAGAAGTCAACTTAATGAATGAATTATCATTAAAAGATCTGAAGCAAATTTAACTTTAGACTGTATTGATCTTTTATAAGTTCTCGTTTTATGTGTCATGCTTGGGTGTGCTTAATGTTGTACATACTGCAAAGAACACCATAAAAAAAATTATATTGACTTTGCGTTTGTATCAGGTGAAAATCCAGGGGCAAAATGAGGAGATGCTCCTTGCTGCTTGTGAGCAGTTTCTGGGGAAGCAGGAACATGAAATTCAACACATTGCTCTGGTCACTCTGGAAGGACATCAGCGTGCCATCATGGGTAGCATGACTGTTGAGGTTAGTATATCACTTCTAACATAAGAAGTTTTCTGGAAAATTTGACTTTTACATGTGTAAATCCTCAAATACTTGTACTCAGAATTTTGTACTTCACTTGTTGCATACAGGATTGTCAATTATATAAAATAGCATCAGGCATCTTGGACACTAACACAATTGACTTTTATTTTGGAGGTTATGTTTATTCATTTTTATATTTATCTGTAGGTACAGTAATGAAATAGAACCAAATACTTTTGCGTGTGTTTAGATATACTTTTAAATTTATAATTTGATTTTTTGTTATGTTCATGATGGATGTTGTCAGCATAATAAAGTTGAAATTCTGTTACAAGTTGTCATGTGGACTCATGCTGAAGAAGGAAGAGTGCATGGTTAATGTATTGTAAAGTTGTTATTTTAGGAGATACACACTTAGATGTCAGAGGACCAGATGTATTGTATAATGCTTTCCGTTAGGTGAATGCCAGTATAATAATTTAAAAGAGGTTATGATCACTTCCTCCTACATCCTTTTCAGATGATTATGCATATCCATGGTTTCATATCATTTGCTAATGATAGTTAATGTAGTGTAATTAAATAACGTATGAACCAAGTCTTCATTACTGGAAATTAAGGTATGCAGATTATTGACTTTATTCTTAGTGTGTTTAACTGTACTCAGATTATTGACTTTATTCTTAGTGTGTATAACTGTACTGGATTGTCCTAGGGAGAAGTGAAGAAATTTCACACCAAGTATTTCTTATAATTTCTTGTTTAGGAAATCTACAAAGACAGGAAGAAATTCAGCAAGCAGGTGTTTGAGGTTGCTTCGTCTGACCTGGTTAATATGGGCATCACCGTTGTGTCGTACACACTGAAAGATATCCGAGATGAGGAGGTGAGTATGAGTAAGTTTAGTGCTCAATAGCAGAATCAGCATGCTTCTGTTAGTAGTAGTGCGTATAGCAAAGAAAAGATTACTATATCAACTTTCTTTTCAGCATTTAATAAATATTTTTTAAGATGCTGTTTTTTTTTCCTGATTTGTACTTTAGGCTGAGCAGCTTAAGTATTTTTATAGCGTAATTAAAACTTTTCATAGTCATATATGTACATCCATGCTTTAAAGGATGAACTAGTCTTACATAATTGTTTAGTGCCACATTTTTTAGACATGTCTATGCTGTAAAAGAAGACATAGTCTTAATCCTTTTGTTCCTAAATTTTTTATACACATGGCTTCCCATCCAAATTTTTTTATAATAAACATATCATTGTTTAAGCTGTTATTCTTTGACTGAATTCTCCCTATTATTTTGCCGTGGAAAAGACAATAAAACACAGTGTGAAAAGGAATATAACAAATTGTTTAATTTTTATATGGTGATTTATGTTCATAAATATTACCAGTATGAAAGGATTTTTTTGTGTAGGGTGGTCTAAGATAAGGGCATTTGCACATTATCCATGCAGAAAGTCTTGGGTTTCTGTGTCAGCCATATGAAATGTGTATTTTTTTTTATATACCTTCTCCTTCCCTCATCTGTAACAAAGTTAAGACGTATATATAAGGGATACAAGGCCCAAATTGCAGTTTGGCCACCTCTACCATCATATACTATTAATGGGGTAAAATGTAAAATCTGCCATCTGAGTACTCCTGTCTAAAAGACATGAGGATCCCTACCTTATATTAGCTGGATGGGTAGAGATCATTAGAGTCAATGACCATACCTGGAGTTATAAATAACAGTGACAATGTGATGCATTTACAGGTTATGATATAAGTCGGAGACTCAGTGTTTTGTTTAAGTGTATGAAGACATAGCTGTTAGAGAAATTATGAATATGTGGAATGAGTCTGACGAAGTAGTAATAAGGTCCAGTAGCAGGCTTTTGTTATGATGGTGATGTATCTGTGCACTCAATCATAGCAAACAGTTTTTTTCAATAGTTGAACATCTGTTTAAAGTTGAGGTAAAGCCTGTACATGTGATGAACGTCTGGAGTTATATAATGGAAACATTCTTTTGAGAGACACTGCTCTTCATTTTGAGGATGGTTAACGCTTCTTCTTATTTGAATCTTGGCTATCCTGATAAGTTTCTTTGTGATTCTTCCCATTCCTTTAATGCAGTGTCTACTTTAAAACAGACCATGTATTTTCCATTTCATCATTCACAATCATCGTACTGTTTGATGCTATATAATCTAATGTACTTGAGAAACCAACTCCGTGGAGCAGAATTCTTGAGAAGCTGCTCAGCTGGTAATGAAATTCCCTGCCCTCTGGAACCTCAGTTCATTACTGATTTCACAATAGCTTACCACTGACCCTATCCTTAGCCACATGAATCCAATATACACCCTCAACCTACTTTTTTAAGATCCGTCTACATCTAGACTTCTGGAATGGTTTCCGGACTAAAATGTTGGATGTATTTATTATTTCTCCCTTCTGTGCCGCATGCCCTACCCATATCATCATCCTTGATTTCATTATCTTAAAAGAGGTAAATTCATTTTAATAAACATTTTTAAACAAATATATTCCACATTGAGGACTTGGTGCCACCACCTCCCAGTGCAAAAATATATTTTTCTCAGAGTTTCTCTCTCTCTCTCCCCCCACCCCCCCTCCCGTTAATTCTTAAGAATTGTTTTCCAGAATTTTAATCAATAAATGTTCTGCCTGCATGGAGTGTTATACTACAAGAACCCTCAAATTTGGAAATGTGATGATTAGTTTTGTATCTGCTAGGCTAGTCACATATGCCACCTCATCCTCCTGTAATGTTTGTGATATGAGACCAGGTTAGTGTGAAAAGTATGATTTGATTTTCTCTTTTAGTATTCCCATGCATTCAGAGTGAACATTGTTTTCTGGCTGACAGTTTCAGTCAAGTTAAGTGGCTGTTACGTAGCTATTGCTTGTTACTAAGCAGCTTAGCTCAGTTCTAACCCACTGTCCTTGTATGCCATAGTTTGTCTCAGCTGGACCACCAGTTATTCTGAATAGGATTCTTCGTGATTTTCACATCTCAAAGTTAAATCACAGTATTTTCACAAATTTTGTGCAATTCCTAGCATCTTTTCTTCTTCATAGATGAATTCTACAAGATGTAACTTGCACTTGGACTGTGGATTCACACTTCTAATTTCGTTTTATAAAATTAGGTACTTAGAATGTGTAACTTATCCAACAGTTTATGAATATGTGCTCTTATTTCAGATCATTCAATTATATTAACATTTTTTAAACATGGTGTTTGTATAATTTTTCTGAATATGTTACTAACTTGAATTTAATTTTATATGTTTAACTAAATTTCAATAATAATATTCTACTATTTAAAGAGAATTAGGTGTGAGAGAGAAGCACATCTGTTGCACATCACTACTTTGTATACTTTCCAATATCCAGTCTAAAAGAGGTGAGAGGAAGCATGTGTTATTTAGAAATATGGAGAATCCAAAATTGCCTCATTTTTAAACTGCACTTATATACACAGTGCATCACAAGCCATTCACATTAGTGTTGAATTTGTTGTTGTAGTAATACACAGTTACAATAGTAGAGCAGTGTAATGTGAAGGGGTCAAAGCTTTGGTCTTTACCTCCCTTACAAAGGGTGTCCTCTTGCCTGTGTTTGTGAGAAGTGTCATTTTACATTCATATTCAAGTCTCTATTACAGTTGCATTCTTTTAGGCTAGAACTTTTCAGTTGATTTATCATCAGAGTGAATATGTCGGTTCTTGAGGCTTCCATAAAGGTTAATTTTGTTCATATGTGAGTCTTGTTGATATGTATCTGTTATTGAAACCCCTCTTTTAACAGTTATTGCAGA